CCTTCTGGCTTGACAAGAAGGTTTAAAGTGGATCAGTGAGCTAATCAGACTTGTTCCTAGCCACACAGGCACTAAAGTAGTGGGACAATGGAAGGGAAGAGCTGGATTTTGCAAACAAACGTTCTGTTTTTATTAGCAGCCCAGCATTAAATGTGCTTGAGCCACGTGGGAACTGCTGCTGTGGCTGCCCGGCGCTGTCACCCACCCAGCCCACAGCCTGCTGCCGCCTCTCCCCAGCAGCTGTGTGCTCAGATGAGCCTTGTGTGCAGGAAGGCCTGAGCTGCCGACAGGGCTGGGATTCGGGAGGTGTGCTGAGCACCAGCTCTGCTCTCAGATCAGTCTGCTGGGCCTGTGCAGTTCTCAGTCAGCCGGGCCTCGGGGCTCTGTTGGGTTCGCACCAGCCGGGCTGTTGGGCTGTGTAGGGTTCCTGTCTGCTCTGCTTCTTTATAAGCAATGTGACGGCACTCCTGCGGCAGCTGTGAGGAACATCAGTTTTCAGATAAGACTATGATAAACTTATCTTGCAGAACAGCTCTTCTACTTAGATTGGCATGTATTTAGATTTCTGTTCCCAAAAGCGTTCATCACCTCAGCCTGCAACTCATGTAGCATTCCAGGGATTTCCTTGTGAAATAGAGGCTGCTAACTATTTCTGGGTGTTTGGCTTTCTGTCCCAGTTTTATGCAGGTGAATACATGAATGTTTAAAAATAAGTAACAGCAACTTCTAGAACTCTTCATTTTGTAAAAACAAGTATTTAACTTGCTGAATATCAGCAAAGAAACATTTAAAGTCCAGGTGTAAACTAGCAGAGGCTAGTTATGCAAAGTTTGCAAACAGTGCAGAGTGCTGTATAATGTGTTTTCCTATGTTGTCTTAATTTTCTTAATCAAGATATCAGAATATCTACATGTATTGTCTGATATTTAGTCCAATAAAGCCAAGCCTATTAATAACCCTTGTTAACTTTTCTGCAACTATTAATTAATTGATTAGTTTGCAGGATTCACTGGTGTGAGAAATTTACAATTTAAGTTACACACGTATCAGTGTTTTTGCGTGGATAATCTGAACTCCCTGGGTTTGAGTTTGCTTGTTTAGTTGCTGTGTGTGACAGAAGTTGGATGGAAGCACCTTGATTCTTAACCTCCAGCCACTGAAATGGTCTTGTGGAAGTGATAATCTGCCTGAGGAGTGAGTGGCTTTGTAAATTATAATGTTTGCAGTCGGGGAATAGGTAGGAAGTGTTACCTGTGCTGCATATTTTAAATCTGAGTTGCTGGTATGCATTTTAAGTGTGACTTGTTTCCCTAAAGTGTGATAAATAAAGCCTTTGTCTTTAGTAGATTGAAGTTGGTGTTTGTGACAATTACTGTTTTGTGTAGTCTTTTTAATCCAGGAATGTTTACGACTCTTGCTGAAGTCTATTCTATGCATAGATAAATATACAGTGCTGTGTATGTAGTTTTTTTCAACTCCAAATGGTGGAACTGGTGGTACGAGCTGCTGAGTCTGACTGCTGCAGCGCCTTGGTTGTGCTGTGCTTAGGCATGAACCAGGACCAGCCTGCTGCGTGTTGTAACAGGGTTTGTTTTAACTTAATGTGGTGGGCCTGGACTCTCCAAGGTGATACAGTGCAGTGGTAGGTGAGCAAAAGGATTTGTTTATTTGTGTATATTACAAAACACAACTGAAGAAGCAGGGAATATCTTTTGTAATCGACATATGTAATTGGGATTTTCCACTTTTAGATCTTGCAGTTGCCTGTGACAGCTCCTGTTGAGTAAAATGAGACAGGAACATATTGTATCAGTTGATGTACCTGTGCCTGCCATAATAAAAAGTTGTGTAAGGTTTCTTTTTTCTTATTAATTTATGCTTTTATTGTAGTGCAACTGCTGTAAGCAGATCAATTAGTAAACACATTCCTGCAAGGATTTTATTTCTCATTCAACAAAAGTTTGCTTCTAAACCAAAAGGGCGTAACAGCATTAGTGTAAGAAGTGTATCAGGCCAAATCGCTGCTTATGCACTAAGCAGATCAGTGCTGAGCACTGCCGTGTGCTGCCCCAAACTCAGCGGTGGGTGTGCTGGTTGCCTCTTCCTGGGCTGGTCGAAGAAACCCATGTTCTTACTCTTTGCTGCTCGGTGCCTGTTTCATGGAATAGCTTTACATATAAATAGAACTGCTGTTGGGTGTGTGCAGGAATGTTTGCTTCTGCGCTTTTTCTGTATAAATGATTTTGCATAAATGAAAAGCTTTCTCCTCCAGTGCTTAGTCTCATCTGCCAACTTTCTTGCATGTTTGGTCAGGGTTTGAACACCCCAACTGCATTAGAATGCGTGTGTGCTATCTGGGGGCCTGAATGCTTACAGCTAACCTGCTGTGTAGGCTGCTGACTTCCAGATGTTTCACATACTTCATATGTTTTTATTTGTCAGTGACTTACTTAAGAACAGTATGTGGGCATTGTAAAGGCAGTGGGTGCTCTCTCAGTGTATTGGCTCTCACCAATATTTACTAAACCTACTTAGGATCCCGTTCTTGTCTACTTTGCCTTCCCTGCCCCTAAATGTTGAGTTTATTTAACCTCTTCTTGTGAGTAGCTGTATTAAGAGAGTGATGACCACAAATCATCATTTCAAGGACATCTTCAAATAAACCTTACAAGATTTCAATGAGAAGAAATGAGTCTCAACTGATCTGTAGGCAAGAAAATGTATTTGGAAAATCTTGTTTTTTTTAATCTACAAAAAGTAGCATTTGAGGCAGAAAAGCTACGTTTTTGTAAACGTTAATTTTTAAAAGAATCCGTTTGAAATAGACCTTTTGTTGCAATGAAGCCTTAACACAGTTAATGATTTGCAATTCAAAGAAATCAACTCAAACGTGGGGTTTTGTGCAAGGCTTTGAATAAGCCACCAAAAAAAAGAGCTTAAGATCAGACCTTGGTGCATTTATTCTTTTTTTTTTTCCCAAAGAAAGTGGAAAAGCCTTTCTCATTCTGAATTGGGAATAAAGCTGTTTGAATATCAGCAAAATCAAAGGGAAAGCTGCTGTTCTAGAAGGTCTCAGTGCCTCCCTAAGCAAAGAGCCGTGCAACCTACAGTGAATGTTTCTGGACAGCTTGCTTGTTTTTCAGATAGGGACTTTCTTTAGAGAAGAATTTGCCAAAAGGTATTAAGTCAGTTGTCTTTATTTCTTGCTTATCACAGAGTTTGGTTAAATTCCTTTTCTACTGCGTAGCCACAAATAACGTCTTCAGCTTTATAAGGAAAAAGTGTCTTCTCCCGTCTGCCCTGAGATGGGCCAGACACAATTCCCATGGTGTGTTACTTCCTGAAAAACGGGTGAACTTCTGTCTGCTCAACTCAGAATTCAGCATGAAGACGTCACGTTCTGTGCTGCTATCAACAGCACCATAATTTTTCTGGACAACAGCAGCTTATTGTCTGGCACGTGGTTATTTCCATTTAAGTATCCTTCAGTGACAGCCTAAGAACATAAGTCTCTTCAAACGATTATTGAATTTGCCCTTTAGCCTACTTAAGATTTTTTTTTATCGTCACTTGTTTTGCCTTTGATCTTAAAAATAATTTGTGTATATATATATATACACTGTTCCATTTTAGGTTTTAAACTCCTTTCCCTCTCTGCTGCTTGCTCCACTAAGTATCTACAAGGAAGGACTCCTATGCTGGAGTTAATACTAGTCTCTGGGTGCTTTGCAGAAATACTTTTGCTTGGAGTTCTAAAAAAGTGAATGATCTGGAGAAAGATGGAATTGATCTCATTCATCACATTTAGGATTGTGGATCGATTACAAAAGGATGTACAAGTCTAATGCTTGTGATAAAGTGAGGTGTCTTTCCATTACTAAGTTTTATCTTTTATGATACAAACTTTTTTTTCTACTAACTTTCTTTTTATTAGGGTTTTTGAAGTTGGTGGGTGTCTGTAAGACAGCAAAACTGGTATGGGATTGGCATTGTGTCCTGTGAACGGGCACTTGGTTCATTTAGTTAAGAACAGTCAAATCTGTCCATCTTGTGCACACATCAGTAATAGTTTTCTGACTTACGTTATTGCTCTTCATGTAGTTGTACCGATACATTTGAAGTTAACTGAATGATGTGTAATTATAGTTAGACTGCTTTGCTTTTATGGGCAAAACTATTTTTGTAATGGGCAGCTCATTCTCTGTTGCAGAAATTCATCTTCAACCATTATGACAATTGTCTTTGATTTGCCATAGTAATTTTAATTAATTCTCTTGGTTGTGTGGATCTTCTGGATAGACAGACTAATTTATTTACTGTGCATTAGAGCACGTTAGGGCATTGCATCATTGAATTCATTAGATATGATAAACTGTGCTTAAAAAAAAAAAAGTATATGGAGTATAGAGGTGTTGTAAGGACACTGGAGGAAGTTGCACAATCTCTTCTTAGCGCTGTTGGTAGGATTTGGGCTGATCAGTGGTTGGGTGACCAGCAATCAGGTTTCCCTCATGCAGAATGGTTACGTGACTTGTTTTCTTATGTTCTGTATGGAGGTCGGATGCTTACAGTAGAAGGATGTGCAGACTGCTGTTCAGATACACATGCAGGTTTCTAATGTGATCGGAGAGAGTCTTTTGAAATTGTGAATGAGTTGTGTTTGTCCTGAAATGTTATGTGGTTATGTGCTAATAAATGTGGTTATATGTGTAATTTATGAAGAAAAAAAAAAAAGAACTCAAGTCTTGAATTCCATAACAATTGTGTTTGTACTGTTTAACGTCCAAAGAAATGCAAATACCAACAGCAGTGCAGCCTGTTAAATGGGCAGAAGAATGTTTCCTCAGTACGGGTGGCTGGCGGTGTTTGTGTTGGGGGATTAAGGCTCCTGGCCTGATTTCTGCATAGAGGCCTACTTCTGATACGTATTGAAATGCGTGTTTGAAAACATTCTCTCTCAAATACAGTTTACTGTTAACTTTTCGTTTCTTTTTTTGCAGATCTTTCTGGATCCCTGTCTGATTGCTCCATGGTCTCAAACTCTCCCCTGTAACTGTCGCAAGGAGCCAAAATGAAGTTGAAACATAACATCAACCCCATTCTTCTGCAGTTTATAAACTTTATTATCTTGGTTTATACGGTTGTAACGTACATTCCTTGGTACATATTTTCAGGCTCAAGGCAGGCTATAGCAAAATCCAAGCAGGTTAAGGCTAGACCTGTGAATAACAGGCCTGGGGGTGCATACAGGTCTGTTAACAGTCTGCACTGCTTAGCTTCAGTTCTATATCCTGGCTGTGATACACTCGACAAAGTTTTTAAGTATGCTAAAACTAAATATAAGGACAAAAAGCTGTTAGGAACGCGGGAAATCCTGAAGGAGGAAGATGAAATCCAGCCATCAGGAAAGGTTTTCAAAAAGGTAAGGGTTTTTGCAGTCTGCCTTTTGAGAACTTTTTATTCCATGCATTTACTTCCTCTTGGAACATTTCTGGTCCAGCAGAGCAAGTTGGGAGGAGGAAAAGATAGGTGCTGCCTTTTATTTGCTTATTTACTTTAAGTAGTTGGCTGGTGTAAGTGGCTTAAAGTTCCTATTGTAGGTAAGCAAAAAATATTTCCCTTTGTCTTCTTCAAAATCATAATTAAAAGGAGTAAAGAAAAGTAGTCAATTTTCAGTGAGGTTAACCGTAAATTAAGAGTTTGCAGTTTTACCCTGCATGTTCAGGTCCTTAATGGAATTTTTGCTTGAAAAAGGATTGCCCAGACTTTAATTGCAAAACTTTTATTTTCTTGGCCTTCTTTAAGGTGATTTTTTTCTGCTAATCTGTAATTGTAGTGCAGAGAGGGAGGTTTAATTTTAGTGTAAAACTGCTGTTTCAAGAGACTGAGGTTTTTGTAGTCTTTAAAGTTCAGGGTTTGTGTTGCTTTGCTGGTAGTTGATTTATGTTTGATTACAGGCATTTAAAAATGTAGTTTTCCCTAAAGAAGTGAACCAGAATAGACATGTGCAAAGAAGGGTTTGAGTCCTTTGCTTTTATGTCAGATGTTATTAATTGCGTGCACTTTTGGGACTATTTTTGGTTTAGGTTGGTTTTCCTGCAGAAGAAGTTACGTCTGTAATAAAGGGGTCCTTAAACAATGCTTATTTTAAATTCTGATGTAGTAATAAATCAGTTAATATCACAGTGGTTGGCAAAAATCTAGTTGTGTTGAAGCCTTTACAGATTTGTTAGTGAAACTTCCTCCCAGTCATTAATTTTTCCCTGAGTTCAGAAATGCACTTTTTTTTTTCTTCTTGAGAAAAGGGTCCATAGAATCGTTTCTGATTTATGCTTTGATGCCCTGTAAAGAAGCAGAAAGGAGTTGGTGTTCTGCAAAGTAAAGGCTTCTGGGCACAGATCAGAATTTTCAGTGCTCTGTTCTTCGAATATAATTGGTAGCACAAGGCTTAAGATCTTATGAGTTTTAGCCTTTCCTATTATGCAAACAACATGCTCTGAATACTGGAAGGTTGATGAATGTTGATGTTGACCTACTTAAATTACTTATTTTTTCAGCCTTTAGATTAGAAATTACCTAAGCTAGGTAATTCTATCTAAGCTTGACACAACAGTCCCTTATGATGGTTGATTGCCATGCTTGCCTTGACCCTGTTCTGTTCCAAGTTGTGGAATTAGCAAGTAGCTTTATTTTTTTCTCCATTAGGAAGACGATATTTCTTATTACCTCATAGCACGTTTTAGCAAGTGAGTAAATGTGAAAATTGTACAAGGTGTCTTTGAATGTCAGGGTTCTTCTGCTTTGATTTTGGTCTTTCATACCATGCATCTCTTCACTGCCCAGGTCCTCTTAGTGAAAGTTAAGGCTGAGGTTTATTTGGTACAGCTTTTTAAATAGGTGCATGGCACTTCTCAGTTCTTATGTGTAGAGCATGTAATTCATGTACCTTCTGGGAGCTGCAAAACTTGTTGATTATTTTTTCCCTTTCAGAAATTGAATGGAGTGGTGGGAATGGCTTATGTGCCTATCTGAGGTCATCTGTATGTCAGTGGCAACTCTGAATGTAGATCGTGGATCTGTGTACTGAATTGCATTGCCTGTTAGAAGATGGCTTTCTGATTTGCAGACTGCATTGGGCTAAATTAGCCTAAGTAATTTATCGACTAAAGACATATCCCCTCAAATTAAAACAAAGCTTCTGATTCTTAACAGAACTAAGTGTATGTCCACTTTAAGCTAAAATTATTTAAAGCTAGATTTACATCTTTAAGTTTGTGTGCACTCTTAATTTAGAGAGCAGTGATATCCAAGATAATCTGTACTGTTTTTGGAACTTTGTATTTTATATTATTGTTTGAAAGATCTATTCCTGTGCAGTGGCCAAAGAAGCAGAAGTTCATAGACTTTAAGTAAAAACAATCAAACAAAACAAGCAGCAGAACAACAGAGATAGGAAATAGTGTGAGTTTAGACACTGGGTCATTATGGTGGCAGGTGTTTAATACACAATCCGTGCTGTTCCTCACTTTATTAAAAATAAATAAATAAAAAAAAATGAGGCTAGAGAGATGAGCAGTGAGGTACAAGAGGAGCCTTTCCTTGCAGCAGGGGAGTGCTGCAGTGTTCAGGGTGCCTGGTGCAGAAACCTGCTGCAGGGGGCTGCAGGAAGGTTCTGGCTGTGATGGGCAGAACGAGGGTAGCTTATGATGATGAAAAACACCGTAGGTGCTCCTAGGTAATCAGTATTTTAGGGAGTGTGTGGTTCTTCATTTTTATTGCTGTTTCCAAAAATGTTCAGCTTCAAATTGTAGTTGAGATTCTTTGAGGCTTCTGAGCTGTTTGTCAGCAGACTGCAAATGGTCAGTCAGGTTGGGCAGTTCCATGACTGTGTGCCCTCTGTGCCTTTCAGAACGTTTTGTGGCACCTTCATGCTAAAATATATAGAATAGAGCTGCCCTACAATCCAGGTTAAAAAAATGTTCAGCAAATACTTATTCGTTGGTAATTTGATAAATTTCCCAATATTAATTCAGTAGTGTTATTAAATATTTTCCAGCATTAAAGGGTAAGATTGAAGTATTTTTATTAACTTGCAGGTTGAATCTGGTTAAAAGCTGATGCACTAGAGGGCAGTGTCTTTCTACTTGTGCACTATTCTAAGGAAACATTGAGAGGTGCTGTCTCTTCTGATTTCGTGTTTGGTTTTACATGTCTGTTTAATCGGTTCTGAATAATCTTGGCTCCTTGGCCCTTCTCTTGCAAACTCCCAGACAGTTACTTTCTTGGCATGTGTCAGTAGTGAGAGCAGGGAGAGGTTCTGAAAGCTGCAAAGTAAGGTGTGTGGGTGAATGTTCAGAAGATTATGGCACTTAACCATCGGCCTGAACAGCTCTTTATAGTAGCAACTTTACACAAAAAGGGCCAAGGAAGGAGATGTGTTTGAAGATGAGTACTCAAACATCAGGAAGGGTGTGTGAAACCCTAAGCTGTGCTGCATCCTGCAGAGGAAGCATGCAGGGAAGAAAAAGGGAATGTATACAAAAGAGGTATGTTAATGATGGGGGGAGAGGATAGCAGAGAGACTCTGGGTGTGGGGAGGGAATGAACATGGGAATTCAAATACATAGAAGGCAGTAGCAAAAGTAAAACCCAATATAGCCTGATGGAGAAAAGTCTTAATGACTCAGACTCACTAGAGTTCTCCAGAAATGCAGCTTCCAGTATGTTATTTCCTTTCTGCAGGTTGTCTCCTGTTTCAGGAAAGCAAAGCACATATAGGGCCTTTTTTCACTGCTTTGTATCAAACTGGCTTAAACAGTGAGGATAAATTATTTAAGAAACTGAAAGTTGCTTAAAGAAGGAGAAAGAATCACAAGTGTTATTCAGAAAGATCAGGTTTGTTTGTTTTCTTTTTTCAACTTTGGCAAGTTACACCACGGGTGGTGAAAAAGACCAAAGGCTGTTGATTTACTAGTTGGAAAAGCTACCAGAAGTGGTAACAAGAACCTGCTGCTTTTTCCTGTTATTATTTAAGAGCAGCATTCTGATACACTTCTGTAAGTGGAGAATGGTGGTAGAAAGGGTGTTGCTTTAAGTTGCTTTGTACTGGTGAGTTCTGTTGAGACTTTCCAAGGTGTTTAGGGCGGAAAAAAATTTCTCAAGCTGAAATTGAAATTTGAAATAATTGAAGTTTTAATGGATAGGAAAACGTGTGTGGTTTTTTTTGTTTGTTTTTGAAACATTAAAATGTTGCCATTCCAGAAGCACTTTGGTGTGTTAAAGTGGCTGTCATGCCAGGTCCCAGTCATTGGCGTGTTAGCAGCGAGTCGGTGCCCAGGCACTGTGCCCGTGGGGTTGCCAGCAGCCACGCATGGCCAGGCAGCATCCTGCAGTGGTTCTCTGCTAGGACAGCAGGGGAGTTGCTGGTGATCCTCCTTCAGTAAGGGTTTTGGTTCTGGGGCAGCCTACTTGTCTGTGAGGCTGTTTCTGTAAACAAGATGGGGAATCTTGAGCAGATGTGTGTGAAATCTGTTCATTTTTCGGTGGTAGTGCTGTTGTTGGCAAGTATTGGTTTTTTGTTTTGATAAATGATATTTTCTAATGAAAATGCTTTGGAAGTTTCCAAGCATCTTTCTGTGTGTGCCCTGAGTGTTGTTTCCCTAGATGTAGGCATTAATGAGGAGTATGGATTAAGGCTGTAGTGAGTACAACTCAGCAGAAAATTTCAGCAGCTTGAAAAAGTGTGTTGATAAAAGAAATGTATTGGAATTTTGTTTTCTTTCTGTTAAAATTCAAGCGAGCTTTTCATTTTGCTAGGAAGTCTGGAAATACAGCCTTGTTAGAAATGTGGTTACACGTCCAAGTTAGATGTTCCAATCTGTAACCTCAAAACTTAGATAAATCTGAAAAACAGAATGGGGCAATGGGGGAAAAGTTTGCTTATCTGATTTTGTTTTGTAGTGTTTGTGTGCATTTATTATTAATGCTCTCTAGCCAAAGGAAAGGTCGAAAATACTTGACCAATGAAAATGGTGGTGTTCAAAATTGGCAGGGTGCTTGTAGCTAGATAAGAAAGGTAGACTGAAAATAGACTGAAAATGCAATACTAAATGTCTTTGTATTGCATCTACGTGTGAAAATTTCTAGGATATCCTCTAAATAACCTGTTACTTGGTGAGAAAATGGCACTGCAAGGTACAAGCAGACACATAGGAACCTGCTAGGTACTGAACTGTAAATTCAAATCCAATTTTACTGTGCACCAACTTTCCATACGGAAGGAAAGTGTGGTTGCTTAACTTTTTCCACATGGCTTTTCAGTGCTGAGGCTTGCCAATAGTTTCCCATCTTCAGTCCCTCTGCTGTTTGGCAGTAAAACATGGCAGTAAGATTGTTCCTCTTCCCCTGACGTTTGTTTTAGAACAAACAAAGGGAATGGAATTTCATAATTTGTGTCAGAACCCACGGATACAGTGCTTTCTGGATTCCAGTTTGTTAGTCTTCCATACGATCAAACACCTATTTATTGTATTTGTGTAGGAGAATCTTAGTCCAAATGTCTAAGAAAGCAAATGCACAGAAAGACTCGTATTAGACAGAACTTGTCACACTCTGTTTGAGGAAAAAGCTTTGTGAAACCAAAGGCATTTGGGTCAGATAATCACAGCCTTTCTTAGGGCTTCTGAACTGCAAAATACAGTGGGAATTGTGTGTCCTCCTATTGTGAAAACCAAAACAGGCGGTGATGTGCAAGGAGATGTGGAAGCTCCAACACAAATACTGCAACAGCTGCTGTAATTTTTGGCAAGAATATTTTCATTATTAATAAACCGGTGTTACAATTTAAACAGCTTCGGACATCTGCAGCTTACTCACATGGATAAGGTTGCAGAGGACATATGTTAAGGCTTTTTGTTTTTTAAATTGAATTTATTATTCTTGTTAGGTCATCCTTGGCAAGTACACCTGGCTTTCGTATGAAGATGTGTACATCAAAGCTGTTAATTTTGGAAATGGCTTAGCAGTGTTGGGTCAGCAACCAAAGACAAACATTGCTATCTTCTGTGAGACTAGAGCTGAGTGGATGATTGCAGCACAAGCCTGCTTTATGTGCAACTATCAGCGTAAGTATGAATCTTTCCTAAAGATTTAATTTCTTTTGGTCTAAGAGGATAGAGTGAAAATAAACCTCTCTCTTCACTGTACACACTAAGAGAAGTTTATATAGGACACTGAGGATTTTTTCCCCCTATAAAAAATAATAATAATGCTGTGTAAGAAAGAGATTGTAATTTGTAGTTACTTTGCTGAATTGAGAAACCTGTAGCATTTGCAGCTGGGTTATGGTGTCAGTAAATATATCTTGCTCAATGAATTTCTGAGAGAGATTTATTTTCTTCTAATCTCAAATCAGTACATATTATTCTCAAGTTCATGAAAACAAACAAACAAAAATCACACATGAATTCATTGACTCAATTTAAGGAGTTGACGTCAAAGTTTAAGCTGTGCAAGTTTTCCTGGATATTTGGCAGTTCTTCAGTTGTGATTTTAGTTAGTTTATTGTATTGTTATCTCTAAAAGCGAAAATGAATGGGTGAGTCTTGAACTTATTTTGGAGAGCTCTTTCTAATTGAAAAGCTTCTTAGTAACTCCTCTTCCCAGGTATAAGATACTCCTCAGTTCAAACATTAAGCTGAGCTTAATATTAATAATGAGCTTAAAATATTAATAATGAGCTTAATATTAATATTTAGTATATTTTCTCATTTTGCTTTTTGTTTGCTCACAGCTTTCTCATAGCCTGTTTTGTCATTTAGTGCATTCTAATTTAACTGGAATGCTTATCTGAGACTTTGCTCAAGAGCAGCCTGGTGTCTCTCTTTTACTTTTCTCCCATGTTTAGTTTTGGCAAACTGTTTAAAGTCAGTCTCTCTCTCATTGATAATATCTGCATTAATAACCCCTAGTTCCCAATCCGTTAGTCCTCTGCTGTTTCATTGCTGAGACCACTAACAGTGGGCAAAGCAGAGTCTGTTCAGGGAGGAAGAGGCAGAATAGGACAGACTGGCTGGAGCTGTCCTTGCACAGCTTCACTTTGCAGCACCATGCAGAGAGGGGTGCAAAGCCACTCTGCTCCCTTCTCCTTGCTTCAGTCACGTGAAAGGCCACGGCAGTGTCTGAGTTCCACCAGTGGCACAAAGCCTGCTGCATGCTGCAACGTGGCCTGAGCCTCAGTGCAGGGTTTTGCATAGGATCACTGAGTTTCTTGTTAAGAAATCTATTGAGTACTGAACTTGTTTGGTCTGGGGATTATTGGCCATTTCATCAGCGTGACTTAATGTGTCCTACACCTAACTGTAAGTCTGTGGTGGGGGCATCCTCAGGGGCACATTCCTTATTTTCACAAAGGGCACTCTAAAAGCTGTAGTTCCCCATGGGCCTAGGCCTCTTCTTGCCCATGCCATGTTCATTCTTCCTTTATAAGAACCAGGTCATAAAAGCCAGATGTGCAGAAACTTCTGGTTTAGTACCTAGTTACAGAAAAGGAGTGTATCACACAGGCTTCTCTCAGATTTTGGAAGCAAACCTAACATAATTGTTTAAAATGATCCCTCTGTGCTATAAATATCAGTTTGTTTATTTGATTAAACCACAGAGTTATGAATCCGTAGCAGTTCTCACGTGGTTCTGTGTGATTACCTTCTGTGTTGAGATACCAAAATAAGTCCAGAGGAGGGCTGTCAAGATGGTGGAGTGATTGGAAGACGTGGCATAGGAGGAGAGGCTGATAGGAAAACATCTGTTCAGCATTTTATCCCATTCTACTGCTCAGTTCCTTTTATTACTTTTGGGATCTGCTAGATTCCTAGTGGTCATCCTGGGAATAAAATACAAAGGCTTGCATCAGTTATCTTCACACTGGAAGTGAAGTACGCTTATAAATACTAGGAGGATTTTGTAATTTGGGAAAAAGGAATCTGAGATAGTGAGTGCATGGATGTTGTGTGTAGAATGTTACGCATATGTTTTTGATTTGGTTATATTAGTGTTCTAAATTCCTGTGTTGAGACGTGCTTCAGCACACTGTCTGATGTGATGTTTAGCATCTGAGCTGTGTGTCATCTTACGTGAACTTGGCTGACTTTTCTATTGGCAGATAATAATATCATGCAGTGTTCACGTAATCATTTTGCTCAATTTGAATGAATTATAGATTCATTCTAGATTCATTATAGACTTCAGTTTTTGTTGAAGTTATAGTGTGGCAAGGCATTACTAAATTACTTAAATTAACACCTCTTAGTTTTCAGATACCACATCAGCTAACTGCAGCCACTCTGGTAGCGTGGCATTCTTTGAATGTGGAATGTGTTAAACCTGATGGTAGGTGCACAGCCTTCACACCAACAGACCAGGTTCACGTGCCTTGTACTTGGTATTAGAGAGGAGCCTTTTGTACTTCAGAATTAGTGAGATTCATTCCTATGTATTGCACATACAAGTGGCTTGATGATAAGAAATACTGTGTGTTCTTGACTGTCATATTTACATCTTTTTGAAACTATGTAGGTCTTGTATTTGCCAGAGTAGAGTGGGATTGGTAGTTGAAAAATAGGGAGGGGGGTTAAAAAAAAAAAAAAAAAAAAAAAAAAAAAAAAAAAATAGATTTTCTACTGGTGTATCCTCTCTTCATCTGCAAAGAGTTGTTCAGTGGTGTGAGCAGATGCAACAGCTGGTGTGTATAATCAAATAAAGAAGTAAATAGAAAAGGTCATGGTTTTGTTTTTCAGTTATACTTTCCTGAAACTTGAGCAGAAGTGCTTTTGTCAGAATTGGTTTTGCTGAAGCCTGTAAAGGTACACTTTACTTTTTCTTTCTGAGGTGTGATGGGTTCAGCAGTCTAGTTAGGTTGAAATAAATGGTGAAAAAAATCCTATTGCTTTAGGACAAGATTCTGTATGATTAGCTGGCAAACTTAGTGTTACTGCTTTTTTTTTTTTTTTTTTTTTTTTTTTGCTTTTTCAGATTAGATTGTTTTCTGTAGCAGAAATTGTAAGATCCCCTTTGCATTTAATACTCAGTTGTATTATTGTACGTGAAAAGATGAACACAAAAGATAATCCTGCTTTGGTCTGTCTTCAAGGGAAAAACAGGAGGGATGGGAAGGGAATACTGGAACCACTTTCAGAATGCCTGAAAATGTTTTAGGTGCCAGTGCAGAGAAGTGACTCAGCCACCACTTGGTTTGTTTCTCCTTGTGACATCAGTACTCCATCTTAAGTACTCCAACTTATAAGTGGTGTACCTCTGTTTTTTTCCCTTGATGCATTTGTTCTGTGGATGAGTAATTATGTAAATGGTTATTTCAGAGATTTATACTTTTCTTTCCAAGCAGCACAGCATCTCCGTTGTGCTTGTTGGCCTGGGGAGGCTGAATTTCTGCGAGATGTTTATATAACAGGGGTCACCGAAGTAAGGAGGGAGAGCTCGTGGGAACTAGTGGAGGCACTCTGCTGGACTTTGCTCCCACCAAATTAAAGAAAACACAGTGCATGTGTGTTTGCCCTGCAACAGTTCTGAACTACGATAGGCTGTTTGAACAAGGAAAAAATAAATAGAGGTCAACTATTTACTTCTCTGTGTAAGAAATGCCTGGTTCTGAGTTCTTCCTTACTGTGCTGTACTGAGTGAGTAACTCCATACAAAAGAAATACAAAAGAAAGTCAGATACTTCATGTTATGAAACTTAGAGCACTGATGTTGCTGTAATTAATAATTGTGATATCTGATTCTATAACATTTTTGAAATGTGAGCTATACTAAATTGTTATACCTCTGTTTAGTGTTATGCTTAGGGGAAAAAGACATTACCTTGTTTGTTTGTTTTCTTGAGAGCCATTCCTCTCTTCCTTTTAGAGCTGCCTTTCCTCCCAGATCTCTTCCTTCCTTGTCTCGTGCAGTTCCCATAAAAGTGGCAGGAAATGAAATTGGGTTTTTTAAAATAGTCAGTGTGAAATAACTGTGGATTAATGCTCCATCACTGATGAGCTGCCCTTACATACAGGAGACAGTTTTTTCCAATAGTCAATTTCCAAAGTATTTAATTTTCTTGTTATTCTGTGTTGTCATGATGTCAGTTCAGTGTCTAGTGATTGTGGTGGTTATTAAATTGATTATTATTTATTTGTATTTATTAAATTGATGGGAGAATTTGATAGTCTCAGACATAATACTGAATGTAGGTATTAATCTGCTGATAATTTCTTATTAGCATTCGGTCTAGGCTAGTGACAACACTTCTGAAAAGAGGAGCCAAGTAAATATTTGCAGTTTCTTTCTTGTGTGCAAGACAACTGTTTAAACAATGGATTTATTGAGTACAGATGCATGATTAAAAACCATGAAGATACAATAGTAGATCTAGAATAGGATAATATGGTTTTAATATGTGTAACTAGAGCTTGAGGAGTAGTAAAGTCACATATGCATTACTTATTCTTTATTCCCACTCTAATTGAAAATTATGCTGTATTTAAATCATGTAATATGTATTTTTAAAGCACAAAACTGTACCATCTTTGTAATAGCTGACAAATACTTTGCCTAAGAGCAGGTTAATCTCAGCTATTTATTGTAAACTGTACTTGAAAGTGTAAAGATTCACCAGTTTCTTCTTTTTTGTTCCAGTTGTTACTCTGTACGCTACCCTAGGAGGTGCAGCAATAGTACATGGGCTAAATGAAACAGAGGTGACCACCATCATTACTAGTAAAGAGCTGATGCAAACAAAATTGAAGGTCAGAAAGTGTTATTTGTATCTTTTTTCCAGTATATCTGTTCATTATTGTTAAAAGGTTTGGTAGGTGTATGAAATGATGAATTACCATTCTGTAGCGCAAAGACTTCTTGTAGAGTGAGGTCTTTGTATCTGTCTTCATATACATAAAAAATGATAGCTTTTGGATTCAGGCTCCAGGATGACTTCTGAGAGCAGGATGAACCATCTGTGCTATTGAAGAGCTGCAGTCCTGTCTGAAACAGCACCTCCACAAGAACTGTGTTTTCTGGGTGAATTTAGAGCCTCTAAACTCAACTGTTGAAGGAAGAGGGAGGAACAGAAAAATGTATAAACTGTATATGAATAACTGTATGTGATTATACTCCTGCTTTATTCGTGGATGTTTTCCCAGCAGAGAATTGATGACTTACATCTCCAGATTGGTGCTTGAAGAGTCAGAGCTGTTTTGTAGTGCAAAGAAAGCCTATGAAACATTAGTATAGCTTTTTTTAATTAAAAAAAAAAAATCCCTCAAAATGTATTTTGTATTTAACTTTATGATTTCATTTAAACCAGTAAATCCTTGCAATCCATTAAGAATAGTTCAGAGTCTTAATGTCATGCTTCAACCAGCAGGGGTTCTAGGTGCCTTGTTTCAAACGCCAGTGTGCCGCATCGGTTTCTTAGCTGTTTTCATAAGGAGAACTTCTAAGATTTGATTGCTCCTTTCTCTGTAAGCTTTGATTTTTGAGGGTACGACTGAGTCAGTGTCAGCTACTTACTGTGGCATGTCAGTTGGCCAACTGCTGTGGAATCTACAGGCCGGCAGGACACACAGCTTAGGTAACTTATCCCTGTGTTGTTACTGCCAGGCCAACAGGCTTATGAAACAAATGCCACATGGTAACTTTGTGATGGTTTGCTTATTTGGCAAAGCCCTGAGTTCAGGATACCTGCTGTTTTTTGAGACCTTAGCGACTCAGGTGGAACAGGTGAAACTATGTTTTTGTATGAGTCAAGCTACAGTGTATGTGAGGAAGTGGATCTTTCATGTAGGGCAGTTGTTTAATTAAAAAATTGTGCATTATTGCTGCATTTTGAATGAGAATTTTCCAAACTTTGTATTTCTTTCTCTTAAATTACTGGAATGATACTGTATATAGTGCAAGCTGGCATAAATAATCATTGTAAGAAAACGAATTTCTTCTGCTAGAGACTTCTGTCGTCTTTCTTTAGAACTTTGGTAGCTATTTTAGAATTCATAGTTAGCTTGAAATACTTAACCAGTACTTAAGCATTTTCTGTGTTTTTGGCTTGGTGTCAGTTATTTCAGATAGCACAGTAATCAAGTGGTGACCTAAGTATTATTGTGAGCTCCGTGATGCCCAGGACCTTTTCTTCTGGTGTTCTGTGAGAGTGGATAGTCAATCTCTGGTAATCTTCATAGTCTTAAGTGTGTGCTTCTCTTGAAATAAGACCCTGATTAAAAAATTGTTGGAGAAATGTTTGGACTTACAAATGGAAAATTCAATTAGTCCTACAAATCTGAATGTGGAAAGCTTCAACCTTTGCAGCCATGTAAGCTAGACAAGTTTATGCTCTGTATTTTAAATCCTCAAATATTTTATGCCTCTTTTTTTTTTTTTTTTTTTTTAATGTATGCAGTAGATAACTTTTTCTCTTGTTTGCTCAAACCTCACGATTGACATGTGAATTTCTACAGGCAATTGTTTCTCAAATTCCACGGCTGCGACATATTATTACAGTGGATGGCAAACCAACAACGTGGTCAGAATTTCCCAAGGGTGTCATTGTTCACACTATGGCTTCTGTGCAAGCTATGGGAGCCAAGGCAGACAGTGGTAGGTTACCTTTTCTTTCTGTTTGGTTCATCTGTCCTAATTTGATCCTACTTGGTTTACTGTTAAGTAAACTTGGAAAAATTGCAGGTCTCAGAAAACTGTGCAGTTAATAAAGTGCATTTAATAAAAATGGTCTTTCCCCAAGCAAGCACCAGACATGCTGAAGAAAAATATTTAGGATAAGCATTTAGGCAAGGGCAGAAACTTAAAACACATTCATATGGTCAGTTGTATTTGGGAACAGGTTATTTAAGCCACACAGGGAAAATTATTCTGCATTTTATAGCAGAAAGCATCAGTAAATTGCTACCATGAAATTTTGTGAATCTAACAAATATGAAAATGTAAAATGGTTACCTAAATCTGATAGAACTTGGTCACTTCTATTATATTTCTGAAAGTATCAATCTACGATCTTGATTTCTTGAGATCTATTTCTGACCTTCGCAACATTTTGAAAATTAGAAGATGGAACTTTAGGTGTTTTAATTGACTTGTCATGGCAAAGTTTTTATTCAGCTCTGAAGAGTAGTCGTGTGTTAAAGTATCTCAATATTTCATTGTATTCAATGCTTCTTGTTTTCTGTGTTTTCAGAGTATTTTAACCACTGACAGCACGTGAGTGTTGGGATTAGTTGTGTTTTAGGAGCATTATGAGTGATCAGCCCATCTGCTGATGTTTAGGGGAATGTCAGGTTTGTTGCTGACATGATGGCCCCTCAATTCTTGTAAAAAGGTGTCTAATCCTTCTTCCTCCAGTCTTTCAGACATTGTGTGCTGTAAACTATAGTAAAAGAACATTACCTTTGTTGAGTTAGCCGCTCATAAGCTATGGAATACTACAAGTAATTATTTATGCTCAAGACGGTTCTACTCACATATTAAGTGAAGGAGCTTATTTTTATCTTGTTTCCTCTGTGTTGGTCACTGTGCAGGATGGACAGGGTTCAGTGAGTGTGAACTTTCAAATAAGCTTTCAGTGTTCTCATAGAGTGTACATGTTGTGCTGCGTGTATTGCGCATTATGCAGCGTTTCCTTTGAGTACACAGTTGTTTTCATATTTTCTTGTTTTCAGTGCAAGTATTTGAAAACAATAATCCTATTAAAGCTGTTGAATTTAAATGTTTATGGAAATTGGAGCTCATGTTGGCCCAGCAGAACCATGCCCTGACTGCTACAGATGAAGCAGTGTGTTGTTCCTCTTCTGGGAAGTGCATTGCAAAGTAGATTTGTACATGGGGATTTACCTTGTACAAGCTTGGAACCAGTGCAGCTTACTTTTTTATAAGCATACGAAGCTGAGAGGTGTTTTGGAGAAATGAAGATCTGTCCATTTCTCTGTCCTCAACAGGAATACAGGAAACGGAAGATAAAATGTTGTTTCAGTAGGCTGGAGCAATCACTGGAAGTATTACTCAGCTCATATAAAAAAGTTCCTTCTCTTTGTGAAGGCCTTTAAGCATGACCACAGTCTTTCCAAATGAAAGCAAAATGTAGTAGCAATAGTCACAAGTATTATATTAGAACAATTGCTCTAGTATGTTAGCTTGTAAGATCTTCAAATCTGGTAGGCCTTCCATGCATTGTATGTTCTTTCTTTTTTTTTTTTTTTTTAATGAAAATTGCAGGAAACAAACAGCAGGCCAGGCCTGTACCTTCTGATATTGCAGTGATCATGTATACAAGTGGATCCACAGGAATTCCCAAAGGAGTTATGATCTCCCACTGCAACATAATTGCTGGTATAACTGGAATGGCTGAAAGGATTCCAAATCTGGGGTATGTGCCAACTCTTACTCAAAGATGCACGTGGGTAGCTGCATATAATTATTGTGTAAAATATGAAGTGTCTTTGACCCATCAGATTATGCACTGATGTCTGAGCATCTTCCAGTACTGGGTTAAATGCCGTGAGTGTTCCATGTGCTATCTTTCTCATCATCTGTACACTGGAAAGACTGGGACGCAAAGCCTGTGAAGCTGCCTTGCAGTGTGGTTGAAATCTGCCTTCAGCGGTCACTTCTTTAGCAAGTGCTGCATTCTGTGGTTTGTTTCTGCTTGGTGCAGATTTTAATATCATCTGCAGAGTTGCTTGTGCAGCTTTAGCACAGCTAATGGTCTTGGGAAGTGTAAACATCACACTTCATGCATGCTGTAAACCTACAATACTACTTAGGCAATTTTTGAGACAAAGCCTATCATACTTGAAGTATGGTCATAAGCTCATAGGCATTGTTCCTCTTACAGTTCTTCTGAAAGCTCTGAGTAAATTTGGCTTAGTGACTTTAATGGTATGGTATAAACCTCTCTCTTAAAATTTCTTTTTAGGGAAAAAGACATTTATATTGGCTACTTGCCTCTTGCCCATGTTCTGGAGCTGAGTGCTGAACTTGTGTGCCTGTCTCATGGATGCCGCATTGGTTACTCATCACCTCAGACATTGGCTGACCAGGTATGGTCTTGATGTAAGCCCATATGGAGAGGGAAGAAAAAAAAATTACTTGTGTCAGTTCTTGCTTATAGATCCCAAGAAACAGGATATTGGCAGTTATGACTGATATACTGAGGTAGTTTAATTGTTGACAAGAAAATTAAAACGATCATTTGGAAGATGTGCTATGTCATTTTGTTTCTTAAAAGTCTTGAAATGTGCCTGCTGATGAACTTGTTCTTCATTTTAGTCCTCTAAAATCAAGAAAGGAAGCAAAGGTGATGTTACTACACTTAAACCAACTCTAATGGCAGCTGTGCCGGTAAGTTGCTGAAGGATATAACAATGTGTTAAAAATGTAATTCATAATTTAAATTTTATCATTAAAGTAAATGTAAAATAAAAAGTAGAATCTTGGATGTGAAGGTAGCATAAAATAATGTTATTGATATTTATTTTTATATGATGATGTTTATTCTCAATGTAAGTATCATAAACTTTGAAAAAGTTTAAATAGGTGTGGGGATTACACTGCCATTTTAGTTATCTGTTCATCATAATATGCTCGTATATATGTATGCACATACTATGTATTTACATGTCTGTATACTTTCTTCACAAAGGCTGTTTATAAATCATATATATATGAGATATAAGGACAAAGAACCACACATAATGATACATACGTGATTTGGAAACAGCCACCATGTGATGAAAATAGCCCTAGGCACAGACTTCCTTTGTGTCACTAAATCTTTTCTGGGAAGAGAGGCTGTATTTCCTGTATTGTAACCTGTTCAGGACAGTATTTGATTGTTTAGCAGTGTGCTAGATTTCACATTAGTTTGTGATGTCAGTGCAAGATGGTAGTGAAGAGAGAAATGGACTCTGTCTTGTGTAATTCTTCATAGGAGGTGGGTAGTTGACAGCAGACAGACTGGGATTGAACAGTGATCCTGTTCAGATTTTTGCTCTCATTTAATTTTAGTTTTAGTTTTGTTATGTTTCACTAATGGAAGAGGAAGCAGCTGGGAGCGGTTGGTTGTCTGAACTATACTGTAGTGTCTAGATCATTTTCTTGTATTGGTTGCGTGATTTCTTTTACTTTGAGTTGGTCTTTCTTTAACTAGGAAATTATGGACCGAATCTACAAAAATGTCATGAATAAGGTAAATGAAATGACGAGTTTCCAGCGAAATCTATTTATATTGGCCTACAATTACAAAATGGAACAGATTTCCAAAGGCTACACGACCCCGCTCTGCGATAGGTAATTGTAAATTTATTTTCAATGGCATCAGAAAGTGTGTCTCAAGTCTTGCCATGTGAAATAATCTCAAATACAAAATTAGATACTCCGTTGTTTTGTTTTTAAGCAATGAATATTCGTATCTTTGTATTTTAGCCTTATTTTCCGGAAAGTACGAATGCTGCTAGGTGGAAAAATTCGCATCCTGCTTTGTGGAGGAGCTCCACTCTCTGCAGCGACTCAGCGATTTATGAACATTTGTTTCTGTTGCCCTGTAGGGCAGGGGTACGGGCTCACTGAATCAGCTGGAGCTGGAACAATCACAGAAGGTTGGTGTTGGTGGGTTCTGCGGGGTGCTGTGATCCATGCTGCGTGCTCTGCACTGATAATCTTTGACAGTGCCTACATTTGGTTTATGCCTTAAAATAGAATTGGGGAATCCTGGGAATTTCTCTGCATCAAAAAATTAATGAAACATTTTAATTTTGACGCGTTGTGATGGCCTACATAGAGAATCAACGTTCTTACTTGTGATAGTGTGAATGGGATCTTGGCAGCATTGTATTTACTGACTGAAGTGAATATTTTGGTGAGTGTATAGAAACATTAGGAAGATAACAGTAATAAGAAAATGGAACGCAAAAACCTGTGCTGAATTTTAACTTCATGATTCCATTTGCCCCTTAGTCCTAAAATTTCATTCATTCTGTGGTGGCAAAACCACTCAGAGCTCCTGGTTTGTTTGTTTTGTTTTGTTTTGTTTTTGGCAGTGGTAAGATGTATCTGAGGCTCACTGCTAGATTATGCTCGATTGTAGAACGTGTATTATGTTCCTTGATGACAACAGATTGTGGTATGTGGTTTTTGGTAATAGTTTCTTCAGATGTTTAGGGAAAGTAATGGTGGAATTGTAATATGAGTGTTGCCCTTTCCTGTAATTCTGTCTGTGAAGGTGCTCAGGTGCAGAAGTGTTGGGGACTGAAAGCAGGAAAGTGGATCAAAAAAGTAGAATCTTCAAGTTTTTATGAAATGTCATTTCAAAGTCATGCAAGTACTATTAAAAGCTGTGATGCTTTCTGCAGTGTGATCCATGTGTGCAGCTTATCATCAGAGCTTTATTGTTGTGGCTGGAGCTACTTCTAAATAAAGACATCTGTTCTCTTGCAGGATAAAAGTTTTATGCTTATTACCTTGTTTGTTTTGTTCTATTGTATACATTAAACTTCAGGAATAAAATAAATGAATAAAGTAAACAAAGTACATGACAACATAAATTTTTTTCTACTCTTTTTTTTTAATCTGGAAATTCCTTTTTTTTTTTTTAACATTGTAGTTTGGGACTACACTACAGGGAGAGTGGGAGCACCTTTGGTTTGCTGTGAAATCAAGTTAATGAACTGGGAAGAAGGTGAGAAGTTTTTTATGTGATTAAATATTTGTGTATTTGCAAGAACTTTAAGCTAGTTTCTGTTGGACTTTGCTTGGTAGTATTTACTAGAAGATTATTTTTCTTCTTAATCCTACCTTTACCTATATAGACAAAATCTTCAGGGAGAGCAGTTTCTATGTTTGAAGCCATTTTTTGTATTTAAAAAAATATATAGACAGAATCTATCAACACATGAATAGTGTTTTGACTAGGTTACATTTTGGCTTTTATTCCAGTCACTGTAATGCAATTTGGAGAAGCCACCCTTACAGGAGAGGGTGCAAGTCTTGTGTTGTCTCTTGGAGTAGTTGGATTCAGTAGGCTTTAACTAAAGCACATGCATGATATCTTCTTTGCCATTAATAAGTTTTAAAATAGTCTTCCTAATATTATTAATAAAAGGCAAAACAGTGATGTATAGAAAGGAAGTTTAGTGGAAGCTGTATAAAATACATTTAATGAAATTTGAATGTGTTTAGACCATTTCCTCTGAGGTAGGCTGTTATGTATTGTAGAGTACCCCTGCATAGTACTTAAGGGAATTTAGGGAAAATGTGAAACCTCAGATTCTGGTGGGTTTTGTTTCTAAAATATAAAGTGAAAATTTTCTTTTTTTGACGTGAGCCTGTAGGAGGCTGATGGTGTGTGTCAGTGGCCAAAAATAAAAACAAAAATTGCGCAGATGTGGCATTTTTCTTCCACATATGTTTGAGTTTCACTGTCTGTAAGCATGCCTGTTAAATAGCTGTTTATATGCGGGAAGGAATTGGAACAAGGTGTTTCTTACTGAACTACTTACACTGAGTTTTCAAGTGGTAACTTTGGCTAAGGGCTTACTAAATTTGTTGGTATTTGAATACAAAGTAGTAGGGATTCTTGCTTTGGAATGTATTTTTAATTCTTGGTAACTGGAACAATTCTCAGGTGGATATTACAACACTGATAAGCCATATCCTAGAGGTGAGATTCTTATTGGAGGGCAAAATGTGACTGTAGGCTACTATAAAAATGAAGGACGAACCAGAAAGGATTTCACTATTGATGAGAATGGGCAGAGGTGGCTCCATACTGGAGATATTGGAGAGTTTCATCAAGATGGATGTCTAAAAATTATTGGTGAGTTCTTAAATTCAGGTAAACATATATATGTATATGCACATCTGTTTTTCAGGGCTGCTTGTTGCTGTAGTTGCTGTACAAAAAATCTGTATCTTCTGGCATACAGTTTAAGGTCTTATGATACATCCCAAGCAAACTCTGATACTGTAACAAAGTCAATTGTGTGTTTTAAAGATAATTTTTAAGATAATTGTTTCCTATTAAAATCTTAACATTGATTCTACTTTGTTAACTTGACTGAGTAGTAAGTAGCTAAATATAAGCTAACTTGACTCAAATAAACTGTCGTAGATCTTATAATTTTTTTTTTTTCTTTAAATGTGGAGTCTGATTAAGTGAAAATATTTCTCTGGTGCCGTGTTTTCAGGAATTAAATAAGTTGTGTGTGTGTGGTTTTTTTTTTTAGTCTTTCCATTCTTTAGAATAAGTATATTCCTTTATACTAAAGGAACTAGTGGAAGAATATACTAAGACAAAGGTGATACACGTAAACCTGTGATAGGCTCCTAATTTTTTAATGTCTACGGGTGTCAAAATGCTCTATAAACTACCAGTTGTCTCTCTTGAAGTTAGAGAGTGATTCAGGCTGCTCTTTAGTCCTGAAAACTAAGCTTATGTGTTTTATTACATGAACAAAAGCTTCGGTCCTGTTGCAGCTGCCCTTCGTTGGTCAAACAGGTAAATGCTACAGAGCTTTGCCTGACTGTACCAAAAAGCGTGCAGATACAACAAGTAAGAGGCAATCTTGGCTGCCATCATAGCCAGGTGGGTCTGGCCCTCCACCTTTTGGCCTTCTTTGGGCTGCATACAATAAGCTCAAGTAATTTTGGCTTAATTTTCAGTTTCACTTGTTGTTGTGTTTCAAATAACAGGTAGTCACTTTTTCAATATGGATTTAGTCTAAGAATAAACAGCCAAATGTCACCAAATGCTGCTTCCCTCCTGCCTCAGACATCTGGTTGAGAGAGCACAGCGTGTGTTTCTATTCAGACACTGGTTTTTCTGCAATTCTAACTGTCTTCCATTATTCACGTGCCAGTACTGTGATATAGGAGGTGCTGATTTATAGGCAGAAAATCTGTGCAGATGAAATGTGGTTCATGTTGTAGTGAGGGATAGGTTAATGAAATTGAAGTCTGTAAATCTGATACGAAATGCTTCCAGAACTTACTCCAAACATGAGTCAGCTTGCTTTCTGGCGTGTATACATACATCTCAGAGAAGTATAAAATCAATGTCAAAATTCAGTGTTGCATAACTAACATTAGATTTCTTTCTTCGTCAATAGATCGTAAAAAAGACCTTGTAAAACTCCAAGCAGGAGAATATGTTTCTCTTGGCAAAGTAGAAGCAGCTCTGAAGAATCTTCCGCTGGTAGATAACATTTGTGCATACGCAAGCAGGTGAGAGGCAGCTGGTGTTTTGATATTGCTGTATTCTTTTTTAGAGCTCTTCCTGAAGCTCTAGGCGAAATGTTTTGCCCCTCAAAGTGTGGATATTTTCAACTCCTATTTAAAACACAATGGAATAGTGTTCTTTGTGAAAACTAAAACATCTGAATGATATCTCTTTTATTTTTCTTTTCCCACCATTTGTTGAAAAATGCCAGAAATAAGTCTTTAATTTCCCTCTTTCCCAGTCTGAAAAGCAACTGACTGCTTTCATGATTAATCAAGCTCTTTAGAGTTAGTCCTTACACAAGCCCTAGCACATCTTGCTCTTTGCTCTATTTAGCTGTGATCTGTTCTTCAGAGGAAGGGGGGGAGTAAAAGTAAAACCAATGACCCACAAGCTGACTTGCACCCATGCAGATCACCAACAGAAACCCTGAAGCTTGAATTGAAAGCACTGTAAATACTGTGCAGACTCACAACTAACAAATAGTGATAAATGTGCTTTCGATTTACTTTCTAACTGTACTACTAAATTAGGCATATAAGGGCTCAAACATATCTTAATTTTCTATTTCTAGAATTTCCTATCTATACATAGTATAGACTTACATGTTTAAACATACTTCGGATGGTCTTTTTTTCCTGTTGTCATTTTGGAGCTTCTCAGCAATCCAAAATGCTCTGTTCAGTATGGGCCCCTATAATTCCACTTAACTTTGAAGGCAGCTGGAGCAGACAGCAGGGAATTGCTCAGTAGTAGTGGATAAAAAAATAAGCTTCTGGTTTGTTCACCTGGTTCTGTGTTATTTTGTAACTAACAGTGATCGTGTGACATCAGTTTTGACAGTTTTGGAAAAATAGGCATTGGAGACAACACTGCTGAGAAACTTTCACAATATTTAGCTTTCATTGTGGGTTTCACCCAATGGGCACATCTCAGATTTGGCTGCATGAAGTTACATGCATGTTCTGAGTGTTCTCTGTAATTGATGGACATAGTCTTCTACAGATGGTCATTTCTGCAATGCTGGGATTGGAGTGCATTATTAGAAGTGCACTGTCAATTTTGTTGCTGATTTTTCCAAGGTAAACGTGACGTCTGCAGTGTACTAGAATACTTCTAAAAGGCCATTAAATTTCAGCAATTCTCCTGCAATTGACACATCTACTATGTAATACTTGGCAAAACATCTGTGAATGCATGTGAAGTAATCGTAACTAATTTTTGAAATGGCCAAGAATAAGAATATCTAAAACAGATTTGTCTAGTCAGTCTGAAGCATTTCGTAAGTAGAAGAGCCATCTGTTTTACTGCTCAACCTAGCAAAGCATACTTATTCATTTTGTTGATAATTTCTTCTTCGCTGACCTGATTTTTATTATATAGTAAGATCACTGTAGTCAGAGTACTGTTGTTATCTTTTTTGTATGCATATAAAGAAACACCAGCTGGTAGTAGTTCACTAGGAATTGATATTGATCGCCAAATGTCATGCTGTTGCACCCAGATAAATACGTGGCATAATGAAATGTGTAACCAACCAGATGCACAGTGATCTTTTTGCTTTACTAAGTGTTATACAATTTCTGTTCTGGACACAACACTTCAGAAAAGGTGGACCACCTAAAAAGTGTCCAGAAGAAAACTGGGAACTGCAGCTGATTGGAGCTCTGTGAGGCATAACCAATGAGGAAGGGGTATTGCTTAGACTCCTAAAGAAGTTCAAGAGGGGAAAAGGAACAAGAAAGTTGAGAAGTAAAAACAGAACAAAACAACCAACCAAAAACAGTTGCAGTTTGTGATAAATGGCTTTTGTGGAAAGGAGAGAAATGAGTTGCATAGCAGTTCTATACGTAAGGCTCTGTTCACGTTTTCCTTAAGCTTTTCATCATCTGAAAAATCTCAATTACTTGTTTCAGGGACAGTTGTTTCATTATTTTCCAAAGACTTTGAGATAACGGCTTTGAATGTTCTAGACTTATCAGAAGTAGACAAAGATTGCCAACAGTAGAGAGCGTGTGGAGAACCACTTGAAAGAGAAAGAGAAGTTACTTCCCCTACAGAAGCAGGCGTTCTTTGAGATGTGTTGTGCATATGCTTATTCCACAATCTGCTCTCCAACCCCTCTTCACTGCAGTCCTCTGCTCCTCTACAGTAACTGGATTTCTGCAGTTGAGAGGAAACTGAGGTAGGGAAGCTGCACACCTGTCTTCATCCCACGATGCAAAGCATGAGGAGAGGCAGGGCACATTGACATCGTATGGGTACTGCTTCCCCAAAGCTTTGAGCATGAGGCACAGTGGAATATGCATATGGACAGCACACCTTGAAGCAATCCAGTTGCTGTAAGGTAAGTAGCTTCTCTTTCTACTTACTTCTAAGTAGGCAGAGGTGATTTGCGTACTACTTCAAAAAGACAATCAGGTGAACAGAAGTCAGTTGTTAAGAGCCATATCCTTGTACGAACTGCAATATCCTCAAGCTGTAATGTTATTTTTGATGAGTCATTAACTTCACAAAATTCATACTGAAATACATTATACTTCTCAGTTTCCATTCTTACGTCATTGGATTTGTTGTGCCAAATCAAAAGGAGCTTGCAGAACTAGCTCGAAAGAAAGGATTTAAAGGAACCTGGGAAGAAATCTGTAACAGTCCAGAGATGGAAAAAGAGGTACTGAAGGTGCTAGCTGAGGCTGCCATGGCAGGTGAGTGGCTGGATAATTGTTAGTAGATTTGTGGACAGAAAGTGTCTGTGAAAAGGATAAGCACACGCCCTAAAAATATTTCCTTGTGCATGTGGGTTTCATTGTGTATTCATAGAACATACACAGAGTGAAATTTCCATACAAAAGTAAACAGCAAAGCATGAGTGGGTCAGAGAACCAGATTAGTTCTGGTTCATGTCGTCTTGTAACTTTTTAATGTGGCCAGTACCCAAGTAAAGAATATACTGACGGAGCAAATGCAGCAAGCACAGTTTGGTTCCCTATGTCTTTGTGTCTAATGCTGTTTAGGATTTTCTGTAGTATCATCTTGGCCTTCTGCTGCTAGTCCAGAAGAACGTGGGTCTTCTATAGACCCATTATATGTCTGTGTTGAGTACTAGACAGTCTCACGTGCTACTTGCCTACATGTAGGTGACTGAGAAAAGCCCACAGTGATGTGGGCTCTCCTGTCTTACACTTCAGGGATTTCCTAAATGTAAAGCAGTACCTTTTTTTGATTAACGCCTCAGTCATATTTTAAAGTTATATAAATATCAGTATCCATACTGTCTTGTGGCAGGGTTGCTCAGTTCAGCGATGTTAAAGGTGAAGAAATGCCTCCTGTGTATTTTATCCCTGCCATCTGCTAGGGTCATTTGGTTCTGCTGAGCTCTTGTGTTGGAAGAGGCAGTGAATGGTCTCAATGCAGTCGGATTTTTTCAGTGCCTATTGTGCTTCCCTCTCAGCTGTGTCTTTATCATGCTAATTGCTTGTAATCTACTTAGCTGTTCTGGTTGTGGAATTATTCAGTGGCACAGTGATATTCTGTTTCTCCTTACATAACAATTTCTGCTTTTTTTTTTTTTTTTGCTTTTGACCATTACTAAGAGCCAAACTTTTGTCATATAACTGTGTTATTGCCACAGAATGTTTCTTAAATAGTCACAGTGGAGGTTAAATTTTTCTTATGCGTCCTCTTCTACATCTTTCTTCAGTGTTTGCCACTGCTGTGTTTTGCAGTCATTCAGTACTGTGATGTCCTTCTGTAGCTCTTTGCATCTTGCCTTCATCTTTTCTCCCCTGAATAATTCTGTACTTCCAGCAGTCTGTCCTGTTAACCTTCACCTCTCCTTCATACTCATATTGTGAATACCTTAAGCTGTGCAAGTAGTGTATTTGCACATTTGTGCTGCTGGAACATAATCTTATGAGGAATACAGACTCAGTAGAGCAATAGACTTTTATTTTCTTGTCCACATCTCTAGTAGATCTTTCTTCAAGGCACAGAGCATACAGGGAAGTTCTTCTAAGCAGCTGCTGGGATGTACAACATTGCTTTTTTTTTTTCTTTTTTGAGTAGCACTAACTATTCAAAGAAGATTCTATTGTTGCAACTATTTCGTTAAAATGGATGAAACAGAATATTTGATTTAATCCTGAGGCACCTTTTACATACACTTTTGTGTTATTTTATATGGTTTTGTTTTTCCCTTTGGTATCATAAGGTTTAAAGTAAGCACTGAGGCTTTTCTGAAGCTAGGGAACAGCACAGGCAGCCAAACATCTGAGGCTTATTCCACTATTTCTGTGGGAACTGGAAAATGAGCACTGGTAGATCCTACAGCTCTGTATATGATCTCTCTGGGGTTTTTTGAGCCTGACCATAGGGAATTTGTGGAGCACTTCTTCAGTAATATCATATGCTTCTCTGTGTGAGAATACGGATCCTCGCTTTTTCTTATTGATTGTATAAAGTTGTGTCCAAATGCTTACGTCGTGTTTGGTATTTAGAAACGGTTGTGCGACTTTTATTGTTATTATCTTCTTCTGTAGCTAATCTGGAGAAATTTGAAATACCAGTGAAAATCCGTTTGAGCCCTGATCCTTGGACCCCTGAGACTGGATTAGTGACAGATGCGTTCAAACTGAAACGCAAGGAGCTCACGGCGCACTACCAGGGGGACATCGACCGGATGTACGGGACACATGTCAAATAAGTACTTCTCTGCACCACGTTGCTACAGTGAGCTTGGATCAAATAGGAAATACTTGAATTGCCTGTCTCAGCACTTGAGATCAAACACCAAACCACCATTCCTCATTTGAAGCCTAAACTGTTATTTCTGATAACATCACCCTGATGACCAGCGAGTTTAGTAAAATCTTACGGCAGCAAACTTGTGTCTGTCTCCTTTTTTATCCAGTTTTCTCTGCTACCTTGTCAGTTCTTGGATTTTCCTGACTGTTTTTGGGAAACCATGATTCTGAAGCCTCAAGTTTTTAAACATTTATAAATCCTGTATAATGTTTTATTTGTATCTTTAACATTTGGATGTATATAGGGAGAACTTGGCCATGTAAGAAATGGTGATACTGGGGGCCTTTTTTTTTACCTAACTATTTCAAGATAAGGTACTGATGTTGTGACATTCTGTAAATTAAAAATGCTTATAATGACGTCACTGTTGAACAGAGGACCAGATGATTTGCTGCTGTGGTATTTTTCTGTGTGAATCTGAGGGAAAAACATTTGACGTTACAGCTTGTTTAAAACATCCTTAATATGTGCCTAATGGTTACTTTTGTTTTTGTCTGAAAGTGAAAAGATGGTCATGGCACAGCTCTGCATAAAGGTGGGTAGCTGTGCAGGTGTTAGTGAGCATCTTTTGTATTAAGTAACACTTATTAACACAGCAGAAATGAAATGGAGGAATAATCTCTCAAATACAGAAGCCCCTTCTTGAAGTAGCTCGTGATCATTCCGTACAGTAGTTGAACTGCATGGAGCTAATAAGAACTCTCAGAATTAATTTCAATTAATGCTTTGTACGTTTAACAGTGTCTAGCAGAGAGACTGCAACAAATCCTGTTCTGTTTTCTTGTTAGATTTGGACAACAGTGTGGGTTTGCTGTTTGGTTTGTACAAGTATGATAACAGCCCTGTTCTGTGCTAGCTGCATCCCAGATCTTACTGGAGAGAGGGGAGGCTGAAGTCCTAATAGCAGTTATGTTCTCAGTTCACACAGTGCCTAGCTGCCCTTTGTGCCATTACAAATCTCCCTTTTAATGTTGTGTTCTTCTATTCAGAGGTTTGTTTTTTGTTCCTTTCAAACACAGATATTTGAGCTATTTGTCAGCCAGAGTTGTATTTATGTTACTTGTCTAATCATTACACCAAAATTCTTACTTTGGGAAGGAGTCTCAGTTTCTGTTTTGCTGTAGATATGTCAATATTGTTTGAAGAGTTACCAGAAATCTCTTCATCTTCAGTGACAACACTTAGATTTGTTTCGGATTTGAGTTTCATTCTCAAAATATTTCTAGAAAGAAAATAATCAGGGTTACATCAGTGTGAAAAAATACACATCCCTCAACTTTGTGATGGAGCAAATACAAAAATAGTGTTAATTTGGAGACAGTTCTTGCGTGTATCATACTGGCAGTGCTAAAAGTTGAAGTCTTGTTGCTACCTACTTAATAGCATGTTATGGCAGCATGTGGCAATTCTGAACAGCAGAAGGTTGATTTGGGGAAGGGAATTCCTGCTGCTAGCACTCAGAGTTTTGATGTGGCAGTTGTGGAAGTTCCTCAATGTGTGAATTCTCTTTAAAAAGTATTCTGAAATGTTATTTCAATTAACACTTTCCACTGGTTACAGAAAGCAGTTTCAAAGCAGTTGAATGTTATCCAGTAGGTTTCAGTTTTGGAAAAATGATAAGGTTTGTGTTCTTTGTTGTATTATCATCAATTTCCTCTCCTATGAAAAAGACTTATGTTTGTGGTGTAACAGGTGAAGTGGAAATACAAAAAACAAACCAAGACTGCTTTTGTAAGAGTGATGCCTTTGGATACCTGGACAATAGATGATTTTTTCTGACAAATAGGTAAAGATTCATGTTGGAAATGAACTGTCAGGATGTGGGAGTTTGCCAGGAGTGAAGGGAAGTGTCAAGATGTGTCTGCCCTCCATCAACAGGTTCTTAAGATGTTTGCACTCAGCACAGGACGTGCATTGCTCAAGTGGTTTTGGTGAAAATTAATAAACCACTCCAGTACTGTTACTGTGTGTAACACTTGGTGCATCGTGCAGCAGGTTTGATTTATTTGCTAAATTCAGAAGGAATTGGAAATTGTTACTCCAGAGTTTACATGCAGTTTTGGGTAAATTGTGTAAATGAAACTGAAATAATTTGGTATTAGTAGTTGTCTTTTTTTCTCTGATTGAGTTGCAGTCTGTATTTGATTTGATTTTTTTTTTTTTCCAGTTCAGGTTTTTTATGTTTAACATTGATATCAGTATACATAGTTCCTCCTCCTTGCGGAATCAGATTCATTGCAGAACTTATATGGGATGTGAAGTTGAAGTGGTTCATCAATTTGAGCTTCAGTGCTGAAGTTTTGAAAGACTTATAAAATATTTGGATGAGCTTAAAAAACTTGTGAGTGTGGCAATGTAACGCTGCTCTGCGTTCTGTTCTTCCCTGGAGGCCAGTGAGTGCTGCGACTGGTAGGAATTTGGGGCTGCCACCAGGTTTGCACCATGTGCACTGCACTGCTGAGCTGAAAGACAACTGGGGGGAGTTTGAAATGCTGGTAGTACTGGTGTAGATGCACGGTGCATTATCACCAGCCAGCAATTTGCCTGGTATCTTCCCTTTTTTCAGACTTCTTATGGCTAGTGTAAAAAAGAAACAGCAGAACCACCCGAGGGACATAATGCAAGTGTCCCAAATGCTGTAGGCAGCCGTAGAGTGAGCTATGAGAAGTGCTTGGTTAGCAGTAGCAGTCTTCATCCTGTGGGGAATTCTGCAACGAGAAGAGCTGTAACTTTTGAACAATCTGAATTCAAATTAAGAACAAAGGGTATATACCTCACCTGAGGGCCCCAAATGGACAGTGGAATTTTTAACAGAGCTTTGTAAATACAGATCTTGCAGAATTTTGGACCATTGGAAATGGTAACTACTTTCTCTGTTGTGAGAATTTATGTAGCATACAAATGTATTTCATTTATAAAAAATCTTGGCTGTCCAAGAATTTCCAAGGATGCTGTGAATGTCCTGTAAGTCCCATAACCACTTAATGCATTTATCAGGACTTCAGACTGAATTCAATCTGGTCATGATAAATGTTCTTTGTGGAGGATATTGATTCGTGGAACAGATCAGGAAATTAAAAAATAGTGTCAGCAAAGGCCTTTTGAGTTTACTGATGCTGCTGTTACTGCAGTTTGCACGTGTAAGAGCCATACCTCAGTGGGAAGCTGTAGCTTAGCAGTAGAATATTTGGCCGAAGTGAAAGCAACGAACAACGTGGAACTGAAGGTAAGAACATAACGCATATCCTCATGCTGCGGTTTGGTGGCTAGGATGTGGAAGAAGTCGTGTGGTTGAAACCATGCACAAAAACATCCCATAAAGCTTGTGAATCTGTCTGCAGAAATTGCTGTGGGGTGAGTCTGTATCCTGCTAGAATGTACAAGCTTTCATTCTGCACCAAAGCTACGTGTCGGCCACGCGGTGCAGCCTTTTTCCTCATGTGGTGCAGTAACTACTTTGGAGTTGGTATTAATTTGTGTACATCTGTTCTGGTAAGAGGAACTCTTTTCAACTTGTGTACATCTTGGACTGGGCTGAGAAATCAATTGAACGACCAGTTGTATATTTCTGTAATTGGTTAATTAATTTAAACTCCTTTTCAATGTGATCTTGGTTGTTACTAGGACCTGCCTGAGCATCGTATATCCTAATTGAGTTATGCTGTATGAATTATTTATTTGTAATTGGATATCATGTTTCAAAAATAAAATTAATTTCACAAATCAGGCGCCATATGTCCAGTTTTTAAAGCAGGTTTTCATTTTTATCAGTCTGATCCTCAGTAATGTCTAGTTGTAAATCAGTGGATTGACTAACAAATGAGAATGTGGCAGTTGAAGAATGGGAGTTAATTAGTTGAAAGCACATTCAAAATGTTGCTTTACAGGGGAAGTTTTGGCTGGGATGTGCGCTCTGCCTGTGCTGCTCCTGTGTGATATCTGGATGGTTTTCTGTGTTAATAGCCATGCCCTTGTGTTGGCAGATGGGGAAGATTCTGGTTGACCGCTCAGCTATTAGTGATATCCATGTGTTGGTGATTTATTTTTCTGCATGTAAGTATTGCTGCTGGTTTCTGTATCTGGACAAGGTAATGCTTGCCCTGATGCACACGGCTTGCCAGCTCAGTTGTAAAGCAATGACTTGCCATTTCACTTCCCACTTTTGAAGAGGTCCAGCTATGCTAAAACCTTACTTACAGCTGGCAGGTGCTGACCGTTCTACTCTCCAGGTGTATTAGTGTCTCCATTTGGTGTTCAAGCTTTGAGTTTGTAGGCTTGAGGGCCAAGTTGTGAAGTGACGCTAGATGTTTGCAAGTGGACTTCTGAAGATCTTGAGCAGATAGACCAAAGACTCTGATTTTGATTTCCCAGACTGTTGCTGGTAATTCAGCCTGGAGGCAACTCTATATATACATATTTTTTCCTCTTTCCTCACAAGTTCCTCAGATGCATAGGGTTGTAGTGCTGGCTGAGTGTTAAGCTGCCTCTGCTGGGCTGCTGATCTTTGCTTCCTTATCCAGCCATGGGAGGGCTCCAGCTCCCTCCTGGGTTTCAGTTCTTTTCAAAGTAATTGGCATCTTTCCTTCAAATTACTTTTTAATTCCAAATTCATTTAGGTTCATATAACACGATTTTATTTTATTTTTTCCCCTTAAGCATCCACAGCTGCTAAAATGCCTTTAGGAGGATCTTTCTAAATAACATAAACCATCCTAGACTGTTGTAGTGGGTAATTTATGATAGCAAATGATTTCAGAAAGGATAAGTATGTAGCCATTTAAGGAGTTCTGCCTGTCAGAGGGAAAAATCACTTAAGGAAATATTGGAAAGGTATTGCGGAAAATAATTATTGCAGTAACATTATAGCTGAAAGTATCCTGAAGTTCTGAATTGTTACTGTTTTCTACGTGAGGAAAAAAAGCAGAAGGAACAAAAGAGGGGAATGGCAGTACCCAAATGCCTGAAAGGCAGCGGGTCAGCTGTCCTGATCTGTGAAAGAAACAAAACTTTCTTCCAAGACTTAGGAACAATGTGTTTTTTAGTGTTTCTGCATGTCGCAGAATCATTGGGGTTGCAAGGGATCTCTGGGGATCAAGTCCAACCCCTGCAAAGCAGGTTCCTTGTGTGTGTATATACGTGTATACACTTTCTCTTTTGGCCATAGAAGTTGAACAAAGGCCAACAGCTGTGCTCGTGTACCACTGTGTGTGAGCAGCTGGGGCGCTGCCTGCTGTTCAGTGTGCAGCAGGCTGCAGCTGGGTGGATGGCCGCATGTGGCTAGAGGGGGGAGTCTTCCTGCTGTCCATTCCAAATGTTTTCTGGGTGGCAATAGCTGGGGAAAGGCAAATGACGTGGAAAATTGCCACTGTTATCCCCGGAATTGTGCATGAGAAATGGCTGTTAGAAAAGAAAGCACCATTTCCTGTTGTGCGCACAGGCCGTGCTCTCTGTGACTGTGCATCTCTTCAAGGGTGTGCTGTTCCATGCGAGTAACAGGAACAGCTTAATTTAGGCTTCGGGGTCATGCAGTGCTGCTGAGCAGGAAAATAGCCAAATGCCTTGTTTTCACCTCTAGGCCATTAATGTAGCCTGCAAATACAAAATCTTTGAATTGAGTGGATTCAGATAGCTCACACCTATTAAAAAGAATAAACACAAAACCGTGGAAAAACAAAATGGCCTGAGGTGTATGGATAACCATTTGGGCTGCAAGAAGGCACCATGGGCAGGAAGGAAGAGTGATCAAAAAAGCTTGCTTTCTTTTGAAATGCTTATGGTGCACCTTTTCTCACTGTATTAGAACAAACTGGTTTTTCTCTAAATCTGTAATATTTTCTATTAGTGGTGGTAGGGTGGTTAATTATTTGCAGGTAATTGAGAAACAACTTGATAAACGTAAATGGTTTTAATGGAGAAGTTTGTGTGGCTTTCGGTTGCAGCCCCAGTGACTGCTTTGTACAGGCCTGGTAAATGGTATCTTTAATCCCTCTGAAAGTTATTGGTACAGATTGGATGCTTGCTTCTTGAGGCGTGTAGAGAGGGAGAGAAGGAAGATGGCATCATTTTGAAGAGTGAAAACATGAATAGCAAAAGAGAGTGGCTATTGTATCAAGCAGCCATGAAATTCACTGTACGTCAATCTAGAAAAAAGGCCTGGATGGGTCACTAATTAATGTAGGCTTTGTTTTCAAGGTTTACCTTCATGTCACTGATCAGATACAGTTCAGTCTTCTCCAAATAAGATTTACATCAGAATTTTTTGCTGTGAACACACTATTTTGATTCCGTTCCTGGTATGCTGTGTATCTGTTGGCTTAAAAGCTTAAATGTGTAATGCGTTTGACTCGAGAATTACTCAAAAAGCATCATCCAGTGAATTTTCCACTACTTGATGCAGTTGGAAGTTATGTTGTAGATGCTTAGCAAGCTGTAAGGAAGCTAGTTGTTAAAAGGCACTAAGAATTTTATGTCTAAACAGTTCACTTCTCTGGAATCTCACCCACGTTTACTGAGCCAATGTTCTTGGAAATGAAACGTGTTTGCTTGATTCCGTTGAGAGTCGTGGCTTAGCCTGTTCTCTCTCAGGCTGTGTAACAAAGGAAGGCTGAGAGCGCAGTGAGAATGCCAGTGAGCAATCTGACCTATTCAGCAATCGCATCCTTTCTTTCCCCAACAGCCAAGGTTGCATAAGAGGCATATAACAGTAGAGAAAAAGGTTGATTTTTCCTGAATACTTTTTGCATCAAAAGGGACTGATAAATCTGTGATTTACTGTTACTCCACTAAGATACATCCATATGCATGCGCACACCTGGAGATATCCCAGTTAATGCTGTGTTGGTGGCTTGCAGCAGGCTGGAAGACTTTGGTTCATCTCTATCTGATGCAGACCAGCATGGAGCTTCTGGGGGACAGGAGCTGAAGAGGTGTCAGGAGCCTGCCTGCCTGCTGTGCCTCTGCTCCCTGTTTTGCCAAGGATGCCATCAGCAAAACATACTATGCCTCTTCCAGAAGTGTTTTACTTGTTTGATGTCCCAACAAATGGTGTCCTGTGAAAACCACACCTGGTGGGAGGGTACGGCCCCTCTCTGTTCCCTGTTGGCTGCTAGGGGCCTCTGCCCTGCCTTTCTCTGCTGCTCGCTTTGCTGAAGGTGGGCTTCTACCTTCCTAGCACCCTCCTCGCTCCTGCTGCTGCTAAGCATCTGTCGCAGCCTGCCCCGTGCACAGCCGCCTTTCTAAACTGAGCTTCCCCAGAGCTGCTTGCTTTTGCTGTAGAAAATACTTGCACCAGAAAATATGGTGTCGCAGGGAGCGATCCCCAGCAGAACCTCCTCCCTGCATGTTGCTGTGAAACATGCAAGTAGGGGTACAGCAAGTAGAGGGCAGTCTAACTTTATCCCTTTGCACACAGCGTGCATTCAGCAGCGCTACTGAACAGCAGGCAGCCAGAGAGAGCAGTGCCTCCAGTCGCACGGTTCCTGGACATCCTCCGACACGCGGAGCGGCTGGGTTTAAGTCTTACATCTCCTCCTCCCCGTGCACACCTGTGCTGCTACGACAGCCACAGCAGCCCAAAGCCTTCTGCAGTGCGGTGCAGGGAAGTCCTGTGTGCTGTGCCCTGCAGGTCTCCTCCCTTTTTTGGCCCTGAGCTCTCAGTGCTGCCATGGCCGGCGCAGAGCACAGGCGAGTCAGAGCCATGCTGCTGCCGCTGTCAGTTCACACAGGGGATGGAGGAGCTGCTGATCTCCCACAGATGACTTTACAGATGTGTTGGTTTACCACAAAACTGAAAAACCACTCCAGCCCCATTCTGGTGCCCATCGAGTGACAACAGCTGTAGCCAGCTGCCCCTGCCTGCCTGGCCAGCATCCCTCCCCGTGTGCCCAGGGGTCACTTGTCACCTCTCCAGCAGCTGTGGCTTTGGGGAGATGGCACATAAGAGATTGCTGCTTAGCAACAAGGAGGAGTGTCAATGAAAAAGGCATGCACTTCTATTCTTATTAGTCCATTTTTAAAGTAATTGCTTTCACTTTCAGCATTTGGCACAGGTGGGGGTACGATAACTGTGTGGTCCTCCGTAGGGCCAGGGCAAAGGGAACAGCCTTTGGGAGCTTCTGTGGCAGCTGGTGTGGCACCTGGCCCTGTTCTGTGGTCCCCTCAGGCGGTGCTGGGCTGTGTGCTGCTGCCTGGACCCCTGGTTCCTGCCTAGCCCCACATGATGGAGGCAGGCTGGTGTGCAGAGCAGGCTCTGTGCTTCAGGGCATGGCACTGCTCTTTTAGCTCTGGGGACTCACGCCTGCTCAGACCAGCAGTGATTTTCCTGTCCTTTTGTGGTTTTAGATGCATGAAGCGCTTTTTAAGGCCTAAACCAATCTGGGATAATTGAAATCTACTCCTAGGACTGCAGGCATTCATATTCTAATGACTTCCATCTGCCTTGCTTTGTTTATTTACTTTTTCTGAAAAGCTGTAGGGCAGCTTTGTCGTGTTGGAAGCTTCCAGCCCTTCAGACCCAGCACCACGAAAGGCACAGCCAGCCCCCAGCGCATGGCTGCCCTACTGGGCAATCCCCTTGCCAGCTCAGCTGATGCTGCAGAGTGCTTCTGGGCTTCTTGGGATCTTTGTGTAGTTAAAGCTTCAAGCATTCAGTTGCTTCTCCTCTTTGCTCGTATTTTTAAATCTGCCTGCCTCTCCAGGTTTCACGTGGTGTTCCCGGTGTGCTT